AACTAGATTTCAGTTTTAACCTTGCCTGACCAAATCATCATCGTTCATAACGGCATTCGAAACCTGGTCGTGGGTGAAAGGTGACTAAACGCTACGCCTCTCCTAAACGGTGGAGGGTGTCAGCTTGTCACAGAACTGATGTGACTTCCAAGGCAAGCCAAGTCTGTTTCAGATCCCATTTATTGTTTTGCCATAGTAGTCTATGAATCTACTTATTACTGACGTAAGTTTCGAAACCATCACTACTCTTGAATAAGAATCAAGAACGGCAAAAATGTATTTTTGTACTTTGGCAGTGATAATCAATATAATTGTGGGACATATTCATATTATTGTGTGCAGATTCAACTATCAGTGCTTCATCATCTATTGTAATCTGGATTGATTGATGCTTAATTCATTATATTTAATTTTTCATTACATTTAATTCACTATATATAACGGAACTCACTTATTTGGAATATTAGTTGACAAGTGTTTAAGGTATAAGTGTAAAAATTGTAAAGCTAATTGAAAACAAAGTAGGGAATAAATTAGTTGTGTCGCGTCATTTTTGCAAGGGGGCTAAACTACATTTCTATTCTATTAGCTTAATACAAATATAAGGTACATGGTACGAAAATGGAAATTATCAAGGCTGCTATGCCAGAGGACTCCAGACAAGTTTCACTTATTGAGTTCACTGAAAATAAGACCATTTTATGAATACAAGGTCAAATAACAGCTATTCAAGTGGTTTTTGCTTGATTTACTACCCCTTCCTGGCATTCATTTGTCGAATAGCAATTTCTGTGGAGTTAGCTGAAAGGAATTAGTCTTCCTTAATATTCGGATGTTATAGAAAAATCATGAGATAGGCAGCCAGCATGGATTATGTTTCGCTGTGTATTAGAACAATTATAACAAAAAATAATTATTATAGAGCCATTTTGCATCGATTCACAGCTTCTTGGAGGGCTGTCTGGATGGAACCCTCTTCCGACGGCTTCTACGAAAGGGACGACTATCGTACTCAGGTCACTGAATTATCATTCAAGATAAAATTTGTCTGGAAAGTAAAAGTAAAAGAGGTTTGTTCTGTCGCAAAGGGTGAGAAGTTGTGCGAATAAGTAATCGATGCACTGTACTAAGGCTCATTTGAGAAGGTACTGAGCTTGAGCCTTTAATTTAGAAGTAGGGTTTTAAGACTACCAGTTATATGAGATGTATTTGCTTTATTTCATTTAAGGTGATGAAGGACTGCTAGTTGAATTTTCCTACAATGATATGAGTAGAGCTGATGTTTCAGTTCAATTTCACATATCCTTGCCTTCTCACAAGGTGTTCTCATCCACGCAGAAGTGGGCTGCAGTTTCGACTTCGCCTAGGTCTTATTAACACGCCCAGCGGGAGTCGAACCATGACAGTGTAGTGTGTAAGCTCGACACGTTAACCACTACGCCACATAGCCACGAGTGCCCTTGAGTCACAGGGTAGATGCGTATTTCGAGAAAGGTCTGGAATTTTCCCATATCACATTCTTTGGTTAAATGATCGATGAAGCAAAGTTATATTTGCTATGACAATGTGGCGTAGTGGCTAACGTGTCGAGATTACACGCTGCACCGCCATAATTCGGCCCTCACTGGAGGTCGAACTAAGTGTAGTAGAAACCGCAGTCAACCATGAATGATAACACTTTTTATAAAAACAAGGCTATGTGAAATTCAATGGAAACGTCAGCTGTACTCGTGTCATTGTTGGAGAGTTCACCTATCAGTTCTTCACTACCTTAAACAAAATGAGGGGAATACATCTCATATAAAGAATGCACTGGTTGGCTCGAAACCCTTCTAATGAACGAAAGCAGAAAGAATAGCCTCATAGTGAAAGGACAAGAAAACGGAAGATTAATGAGGCTCCTGATATCCTTGCGCAAAGAAATCTAACACACCGTAGATTGGAGAAATGTAGAGCTAGCGATAACTTTGCCTATAGCCTAAACAAACTCGGAGAAAACAAAGAAACGACAAGACAAGCAAAAAGAAGACTCCTGGATCAAGGATTTATCGTTAACCAGAGGAAAATGAATCACAAGGCAAAATAGGGTGTGAAAGTTGCGGAGATTAAACGAAGACTTTCTCAATGAGTGAAGTCTGCTCAAAGAAACCAGTACAACTTTGGAGGCGTTGCTGTCACGGAAGTAGGGAGACGAATAAGCACAACTATCACATAACTTCGGTATAATGGCCTAAATGTATTATAAATCCACTCGAAATACAGCAGGCTACCAGAGATAGTAGAAAACAGTTTGCTCAGGGTTATCGGGTTGAATCAAGGCGATGACGCATGAATGTAACTAAAAGCCTAAGCGCTCTTCAGATCAGACGATATTGTATGTTCTACTGGAGGCTTGAGAAATAGGGCCTGGAGTAAAATGTACACTGAGTCTGGGACCGAGTGAAATAGGTCAAGCATAAAAATAAGAAACGGATGTACGGGTCCATAGGGCAGATCCGGATAAGAGACCCGAATCGGATCCGCCATTCGAAAGGGAGGGGGTAAGGCAAGCAAACGGTATGATGACGCCATTGAAAACTAGCCAAAAATGGCATACCTTTTGAGGAGTCAAATATAAACAAGTCAAAAGTTGAGTGATAGCACAGCTGTTTCGGCATAAAGTTGGTCAAAGGTTTGACATCACTCATATATTTGACGAGTCGTAGCTTGGTGCTAGGACTGGCAAGACTTAATGCTGACGCCGACTACGATGCCAGCTAAATGTCTGAGAATGTACCAAGTCCACGGTCTGACGCTAGGAATTATGATAACTACTATGACAAAGGAAGTTGGACATAGTGCGTACAACTAAGTTCCCCTGACAGCACGGGGTCAGACCATGTCTATACATCGAAAGGAGACTGTGACTAAAATAGGGACCATAACATCTTAATCCTCGTATATACATTGATCAGAGTTCATTATTTCCTGTGCAATTTTGATCGTGTTAGAAGCCATGCTGCTTCAAAAATTTCCAAAGTTGGGTTGTAAATTAAGAATTTAGCCTTAATCTAACTTGCTCAGTGTTATTCTTCCTTATCAGATAATGAATGCTTCATCTCTTAGCCCAAATACAGTCCAAATAGAAAATATATGAAGAAACTTCAGCTTCATCAGACGATTCAGAGGCTTTAGTATTGCCGGCATGATTTCCCTCTAGCTTTAGCTGTAATCCTGTATAGAGCTCAGTGAAGCCATTAGTTCTACTGATTTCCGTTTTCCGTAGGTCCTTGTCGAAATAAAGATATCTTCACAGGCTATCGAGGCTTATTTAATGACATGACCATACAATTTTAGCACTTACACACGCACACATACATGCACACGCATTCAAATATGTCTAGCTTAAGAACCTCCCATCCATCCTGTTTCTCATGCTTCATCCCTAACTTGACGAGACAAATCGACATTGTCCTGTGCAAACATCAGGAAAACATGTTGAAGCTCCTTTGAGGCTATAGAGATTGGCAGTTTGTGACGTTGCAAACTGAGGCGTTTTGGTTAAGCATTGTTCGCTAAGTTTCAGAATAGAGATTAACCAGATAGTGAAACACCCTCACCA